TCTCTCTCTCTCTCTCTCTCTTCTCTCTCTCTCTCTCCTTTCTCTCTCTCTCTCTATCTCTCTTCTCTCTCTCTCTCTCTTCTCTCTCTCTTCTCTTCTCTCTCCTCTCTCTTCTCTCTCTTCTCTCTCTTCTCTCTCTCTCTCTCTCTCTCTCTCTCTCTCTCTCCTCTCTCTCTCTCTCTCTATATATTATATATATATATATATATATATATTATATATATTTATTATTTATTAATCTTATATCTGTATCTCTTCTCTCTCTCTTTCTCTCTCTCTCTGTATCTCTCTCTCTCTGTATCTCTCTCTCTCTCTCTCTCTCTCTCTCTCTCTCTCTCTCTCTCTCTCTCTCTCTCTCTCTCTCTCTCTCTCTCTCTCTCTCTCTTTGTATCTCTCTCTCTCTCTCTCTCTTTGTATCTCTCTCTCTCTCTCTCTTTGTATCTCTCTCTCTCTCTCTTTGTATCTCTCTCTCTCTCTCTCTTTGTATCTCTCTCTCTCTCTCTCTTTCTCTATCTCTCTCTCTCTCTCTCTCTCTCTCTCTCTCTCTCTCTCTCTCTCTCTCATAGATTAAATTTGACCACAGTTTGGTGGTAACCCTTTGGATTGAAGACTAATATAATGGTGAGATCCTTACATATTGATTTCATAAGCACAGCAAAAAATGCCTTAGACTATGAAAAACTGTATAAACTGGCTATTAAGAATTTTGTAAAACTACTACTATTAAGACTTAGTATATATTTATCACACTCCAAATGCAATTTAGAGGTGCCGCCCCAAAAAGGTGACACATGCACCTACGCCCACTACATTTAAAGGAATGTGAGATCTCAAACCATGCCCAATCACCTCTACTCTATCATAGCCTTCCATAGCACCCTTGATCATCTCCCTAAACCATTCTGTTGTCTAGGGTGTTTAAAGGGTGTATAAGGGCATACGAGTACTCAAACCATATCCTTCTCATTTACTCTGTGATAGCTTTCCATAGCACCCTGGATCACTTCTGTAACCCTTGCCATTGTTTAGGGGTGTATTTAAGGGGACCGTCCCTGAGAGAGGGGGGGAGGGGGTTAAATTAAGATAGTTAGCGTATAGTATAGGTACATGGATGAGGAAACTACCAAACGAGTATTAACCGCCTGCTATGGCTCGTTGTCTTGCAGCCGGCGTGCGAGTCCCTCAGCACCCGGAGAGGTACGTCGCTATTGAGCGCCCAGGTACACCTATGTGGACTTTTGCTTGCGGCAATCGTGCATAAGGCATTTAATTATGACATTGCGCATAGATATGAGTTCGTGAATGTTCAAGGAACACTTTTATACCAATATCAGGAAAAAATTATATCACCGTGATTTATGACGAAATATTTTGTGAAATATATCTAAAAAAAATGTATGTTTTGTGTCCTTTTACACACGAAATATGCTTTGATCGAGACTCCCTGGTAATATGTTTTAGTTTACGTGGTAATATATACGTATATCACATACGAAGCACTAATGTTTAAAAATAGCCTTATAAGGAAGGATTGAAATATTTCCGTTACATTTCGCTCAACGGTCGGTACATCACAGCAGGGGGCAATTTGAATTGATTTGAAATTGGTAGTTACCGTTGTAAAGACCAATTCAATACGAATGTTACCTAAATGTCGGATTTTTAAACTTCGGATGTATAAGCGAGATACAGATTATTTCATGTTGAAGATGATAGTACTCAGTAATACCTGCTCTGAAATAAAAACTATATGGAATTTTGAGCTCGGTTGTATGCGTAGTCTTCGTCTGGCGTTCAAAAAGCTATCGCATCCGTTTCGTGCGTTCCCGATAAAAATGAATATGTTTAGACGTTACCGTAAGTCTTAGGCACCATAAATTGGCAAATATCCCACAACACATAGGCGTCTGCATGATTTTATGCACTTCTTAGTAAAGATAATGGGTGCAAATGGCTAATCATAAACTTTACACTTGTTCTCCTTGCAATCTGTTAATATTGACAATTATCAAAGAAAATGGGTATGAGAGGGATAACTAATAAATTTTATTATTTAGATATGAAAGTCAATGTAGGCCTACTAAATGATGATGATTAATCTTTTTAACTTTATGTGCGTGCGTTCACGTACATATGATCCTCCTCGAAAATTATAAACACCCAGTGACCATCCCCCCCCCCCCCCTGTGTGAGGCATGGGAATATTCAACGACTTTCGTAAGTTCTCGAATTCAATGTACTAAATTCATATGCTTTTGAAATTCTCAAAATTGAACCACCATGTTGTATTCATGCCAGGACTTTATAATTAGAATGATTTTGTACTAATGTTGCCATCCACAGTTCCCCATTTCTTCAAAAATAAAAAATAATAAAAATAAAATGGAAAATAAAAAAAATATTTTTTTTAAAAAAGGTTTTTATCTGGTTTAGATTAGTTGTCTCTATGGTAAAATGCATTTATTAAGCTTTTCACACGAAAATATCAACTTTAATGAACAACGAAAAAAAAAAAAAAAAAAAGTGACATACCTTTACAGAATAGCGTCCCTATTGAACATGAAAATTCCTATTGACTTGGTAATCATTGCATTGCAAAGTACACTAAATAAGCGTTTTTTTGATATATAATATCATTAGATTCAGAGAAAAATAACAGAGATAACGAACTTTGGCAAGGTGCCAAATACAAAACGCCGTAGCTCCTATTTTTTTATGAATCTTCGGTACTTCCCAACTCACGTAATTTTCATGCGATCCAAATGCAGTTTGTTGCTTTCACTAGAGCCTCGGCGTCCCATAGCCATGTAAAAGGCCGATTTTTGAATTTTTGCCTTAATCAAAAAATAATAATATTTTAATGCTGAAAAAAAATCAAAAATAGTTCTCTATGTCAAGCTGTCCCCCGCCAAAAAAAAAAGGAAATTCAAAATTCGGCCTTTTACATGGCTATAGGCTAGAGTTGATCTAACACTAGCATTTTTGGGGGAATATTCTGTAAAGAGCTCTGATAGTTGGGATGTACCGAAGACATACCAAAAAAAAAGCGATTTTTTTCAACTTTTTGGGGGGTGCCCCCCCCAATGGGGAGCAAAGTTAAAATTTATATATATAACGGAGCGCAATTCTTTACTCTATAGCATGCAAAAAGAATCAATCAGTTATCTCTAACCGATATTTTTTTATGATGTATAGAGTAGGGAAAGGTGGCCATTTTCAGGGACGGTCCCCTTAAGGGTCTATAAAGGGTCTATAAGGGGTATGAAAATGTTCAAACTGTACCCAGTCTAATTTAGTAATTTACTCTATGATAGGTTTTCCATAGCACCCTAAAGAAACCTGCAACCATGTACTGTTGCTTCAATATGTAAGCAGTATGATTTTAGGTGGTTTTCGCATCCAGACCCCTTATAAGAATGCCACATAGCCTAAACCATGCAGGACCTTGAGACCTAACACACCCAAGAACTCCTTGTGGTTGCTGAGAAAAGTTGAATTGAAGTAGGTCTCTCTGGTTATGGTTTATGGTTTATGGTTTTACGTTATGAAGGTTGTTAATATATAGCCCTGTGGCCGGCCCTCTTGTTTTCGGTTTAATTGGATGGGGATTTTTTTCTTTCTTTCTTTCTTCTTTCTTTCTTTTCTTTCTTCTTCTTCTTCTTTCTTCTTCTTCTTCTTCTTCTTCTTCTTTTTTTTCTTTTTTCGGGTTGGGGCCTTGGCCATACCCAAATAATGAAGTCTGGGTAGGTGTCAGTTGATTTTGCTGAAATTCAGAAAATGGGGTTTGCCACTTCTATGGACTCCATTGATCCATAAGAAATAGTTTCCCAACATAAAAGATGTTGTTCAGGAAAACTTGGTAGATAATAGAAGTGGGAAATGATAATGATATAATAATTAGATAAAAAAGATCTTTTGGTCTGACAAGGCAGAATGTGGAGTTGAAATTTTAATACTTTATGAAAGCTAAGGCTACAACTTGTTTACTGAATCAACATTTTTTTTTATAAAGGTACCCCTCAACCTCTGGCACATCTGTTGTGGGTTCTCGTATTGATGGTGGCGTCATGGTAGCAGCTGACTCACTTGGATCATACGGCTCCCTTGCAAGGTTTAGGGATATCAAGAGAGTGTTCAAGGTGACAGACAAAGCTGTGCTTGCCTGTGGTGGAGACATTGCAATTATCAGTTCATCAGAGAAGTCATTGAGCAGAAAGTGTAAGTATCTTTTTTGGTCATACATATGATGACATATGCTTATAGAAATGGTGTGACTCAAATTAGTTCCCACATTTGTTAGAAGAATACAATTTTTGCATCCTTTATTTCTATTATTTTAATTATTATCATCATTATGATTATTTTTTAATATTCCTTAGCAAATGTATCCCACAGTTTCTTTAAGCTTATAGCTGAGAGTACAACAGATATGTAAGGACTGTTATAAAAGCAATGGATATACTGCTTTAATGGTTATGATCAACTTTTATTATAAAATCCTTGTAAGACAAGGATGCTTAAATCTCAAGAGTTAAAATCTCAATTCCTTATTGCAGTGTTCATGACAAAGATCTAGCTAATGAGAACCAGTGGTAGATTCAGGAACTTGTAGAGAGGAGGGTTGGATGAGGAACAAAGGGCACAGAGCCTGGATGTGGGAGGCAATGAGCTGGAACTGCCACTATGTGGTCTTTTATTTACTTAAACTGAATGATAGGCTAGGGATTAACCCAGTGGCTGTCAACTTATTTCTATCCTGTTTTCTTCTTCTTCTTCTTCTTCTTCTTCTTCTTCTTTTTTACTTTGTCAGTTTGTAAGCTCTAGTGACTGCTCCTGATTTCCCGACTCTTTGAATATGTGAGAGTGTTTTTTTCTCTTATACTATAAATATTGATACTGTTATTGATATTACAATTTTATAATGTTATTAATATATTGATAATTATGAAACAGTAGAATATTTTTTATAAAAAGCTTTCCAAAATCAAGAAGGATAAACAGGTGAAATCGGTAGCCTTCTTATTGAATCCATTGTGACTAAACACTTGTTGTAGGTCAATCTATGTGTAAAGACGATTAACTAATTGATTAGTGGCATGGGATGTATTGTTGCCATCTGGGCTGTTTGGTTTGACTAACTTTCCGTGCAGTAACTTCGTCCTGTTTTTTATTGCAGGCGTGATGATGAGTGTGAGAGTACACACGAGTGCTGGATGCAGGAGCCTTGCACTGCTGGTTAACAAGAGTTTTGTACAACCGCCGCAGTAGGTTCGACCCCTTATGGCTTGAGTGTGTTGCTGCTGGTTATAGGGATGATAAACCGTAAGTTCAGTAGCATTCTTAATTTGGCTTTTCATATTTATAGACATAGACAAGACAATATAATATCATGTAATGGATTTTTACTTGAGTATGTAAACTCTGTGTCTGAGAGAGAGTAAATGTGTGTCTGCATGTATCTGTGTCTGTGTCTGTGTATGGTGAAATATGATTCAAGAGCCTACTGTAAATGCATGTATGGTATTACAGCTTCCTGGTTATGTTGACAAGATTGGAACAGCCTTTGAGGCCAAAGAAGTTGCATCTGGCTTTGGTGTTCATCTAGCCATCCCCATGATCAGAGAGGCGGAGGGAGAAGAAACCAACTTTAACCAGGGAGGATGCAGAGAAGGTAAAAATATCATTCTTACTATCCTTTTGGGGATCTCTCTGTCTCTTATTTCTCTGTCTTTCAGTGTCTTTTAGTATGTTAGATGATGATGTTGCTCCAATTTATTCTTTTGAATTGGCTGCAGTTTTTGCATTTCATTTATATGTATATGTTAGTGAATTATTAAACCCATTGAATACAGTTGCGCCAGGGCAATCACATGGATGAAAAGACAGCAAATGGCTTACATAAGTGACCACACTGCCTGGTGCACGGTGTGTAGGCCAGGCACTCGTGTGTGGTGAAAAGACTGTATGCCTCCCCTATTTATCGTAATATTCGTAATACAATCTGTGCTGCCTTTCACAACAGCCAGGAATACAACATTGAGGATGAAGTAGTGTCCTCCCAGAGCCAGCACCCTTCCAGTCATGGCTTACATCCATATTCATTTATCAATGGAATAAAGCAGAAGTCCTTTTCTAAATGCCAAAATCAGTCTAATATCCCACCAAGAGGTCTTTCCATCCCAAGGCCTTTAACAAGTTTTACATTGCCTGGCCTGCAGCCTATTTATTCATACCAGCATGTTCACATACCCAGGCTTCAACCCAAATTTTTCATGACCAGGATCAAAGGGGTTAACTACTGTGAAACTGTCAGAACTTCTGGAAAAGAATGTATATATTTGGTAACGCTGCTGTGTATTTTTTTTCTCTCTCTCTCTCTTTCTTTCTTTCTTTCTTTCTTAATAATGGTCACTATTTATTTACTTATTTCTTTTCCTTGGATGATATAATACATGGTAACACTATCTGGATAAAGGCTAAATATAATGCCAAATATACCAACAGGCAATGATGTTGAGTGCCAGCTGTAATAATGTTAGTTTCAATAGGTGTTACTTGATTTACTGATTCTTTGCAATAACTATCCTTCATCCTTTCATTAACCCAGTAACGCCGGTATATTTTGAAGCTGAAAATAAAAAGTTTCTGGGTGGCTACAAAATCAGCGCGTGGGGCTGGCCCAGACTCTGCCCGCACGCTGGCCGCTGCTCACTGCTGAGTCCTCAGTCTCAGCCTTTGTGTCAACTAATATTGCATGGTCTTTTCTTCTCCCCCTATCCTTTCCTTCTCTTCTTCATCCCCTTTTTCTGTCCACTTCCTAAGGTGTGAAAGCTGTGCTGAAAGAAGGACATGCTGGCTGTGTCAGTCATGAACATCCTCAGGGAGCCATGGGGCACGGTATTCCCTTGGTTGATTGCCTAGCCCTTTCCCTTTATGAGTACGCTAAGGGGTAGACCATTTCTTTTCCCCACTTATTTCAGGCTCACCATGGCCAGTACTGAAGGTTCCATACCCTTAGTAGATGCATTAAGGCTTGCGCCTTCATCAACTAGCCTAGTCTTCTTCATTCTCTACGAACTTTCCCCTTATTTCTACTCTTTATCCTTATTGGCCTCCTCCCCACAGTATTACCTCACCCCACACCATCCCATCTTCCTGCCACCCTCTTTCTCCTACTACTTCCACCTCTGCAAACCTTTTGAATACTCTCTTTGGCCAAGCCAAGTGGGATCATTTCTTTGTAATTCCCCCTACTGCCCATTATTCTGACAATACCCTTTTCTTCCAACAATGTCTCTAAACACAAGTAGGCAAACTTTCCTTTTACAGTCCAAGCAAACACTGTTGCTCCAGAACCCACTGCCCTCTACATGCCCAGCCTGGTCATGACCGTTCAAATTGCCCAGCTCAGTCATGTACATGTGACAATTATAGTGACTCCCATGATGTATTTTATAGGAGCTGCCCTGCCAATAAGCTCAAGTGTGAGGCTGCAGTTCTCAGATTCAAACTAGGCCTCACTCTACATGTGAGGACAGACAGGAAGCATGATGACGAGGTTTTACTCTCTACTTATTCCGAAACTATCCTTTGCTCTTTCCCCCCTCCCCCCTCCTTATTCTCAAGATGTCTCAGCATCTCCCTCAGTATCTCTTCCCTCTACCCTGAACTATCCTACCTTTACTCCCCCTGTTCCCCAGTCAAACTCCTTTACCATTCTAAATCCAGATCTCTAACCCTCCTCACTTTACTTGTCGCACCAGACAATCTAAACATTCCACTCCATCTTCAACTACCACATCCTCACCTATACCTCCACTTTTCCTCTGCTCCTTGAACATCTATCCCCTCTTCCGCTCCCTCATCCACCCTTCAATCCCTCTATTCCTATCCCCCTACATTCAAATTATTTACTGATATCTATCCACCTCCCCCTCAAGTTCCTCCTACCCCACTTCTTCCTACTGTTTCCCCAACACACCCCATCCTCTCCTTCTCTATCTGCACCATTGACTCTTCATTCCCCATTATCCTTACCTCTCCCACCTGGATGCTCATGTAAATCCCTTCTGTGACAATAGTGTCCTCCGGATCCCTCCCCTCCTGACATTCTTCCTGATACTTCACCACATTCCCCAGTCCTCCTACCTTATAATTTGTATTTTTCTCCTGCTACTTGTACAATAGCCATCTCTACCCTTATTACCTGTTGATTTTTTCACAATAGCTCTTTTGCCAATGTTCCTTAAACAATGTTCCTATTGCATCCCCAGCTACAAACACACTCCATATCATCCAATCGCCATATGTCCGTAACCCTTTCCTCTACTAATCTCCAATTTACTTCATTTGCATTTGCTTGTTACCCTTTTCCCTATCATACTATACTATAACACTCTGCAGCCTTTGACATCTAACATTTTATCCAAATTTTTGCCCTTTTTGCCACAATACTCTACCATAGTGCTAAATGACATTTTACATTTAACACATTTGTTTCAACCATGAACTATTTTTATGCAAAGATTTTCATTCAGAGACAAATGTATAATAGACCTCAAAAGGTAGAATTTTACTAATTTACTTTACAAACATACTTTCCCGCTTTGTACATATTAATTTTAGTGAGTTAATCAAATCTTGGATATTTACTCTATAATTCACATGTGTATTATGTTCTGCAGCTCCTGAAAGAGTGTCTTACTGTGCTGTATTACCGTGACTGCCGTGCACACTACAAGTATCAGCTAGCAGACATCACACCTGAAGGTGTTACCATCCATGACAACCTTAACCTCAAACCAGAGACTAACTGGACCATTGCACATCATATCAAGTAAGTTTTCTGTTGAATGTTATGGCAGTATATTTAAGTGGTATTTTTGTTGTTACAAAAAACTGTCAACTTGTAAGCTGCAAACTTTGGACTTTAAATTGTTTAGCTTTTTATAAGTGAAATAGTATGCTGACAAAACTGTATGTGCTTATTATTAAAATTTTCTGTTAAAGAATTAGATAACCAGGCTTCCCCCATTTTGCCATCCTACATCCTAGAACATATTAAGTAATGGAGCAAATAACTGTCCAATAGTTAAAAAATATGGTCTTATAGTTTAAAAATTACTTGAATTTATATCAACCCCATCCAAATTATCAAGATTATAATTACATTACCTAATTGTGAGTTGTATTAAGATTATATCCTATGATAATTACTCTTACTATGCAATAAATCTTTACAAAAACAAAAATAACAACCATGACACTCTTCTTCTTCAGGGGATACGAGTAATCTGTTGTGGAATTCCGGTTCGCAGGCACGTATATTCTTGCAGTGAATCTTAATTTTTCTACATGTCTGCTATTTATCATATAGACATGTAAATCACCAGTGGATGTATGTTTTTTCCTTTGTATTTTCATATTCTCAATTTCACAATGCATCTCTCAATAAGAATGTTTGTGGATATGTTACAAATATTCCTATGTTTTGAGTTTTTAACAGAATGTGATGCCTAACAAAGTAAAGAAAATAAAAACAGGAGTATGTAAACTTTAATAGATAAAAGATTTAAAAATATATATATTTATATTATTACCCTTTATTATTATTGCTGAAGTTATACTCTCAAATAGAAAAGAATCTGCAACAAGTCATCATGAATTTTAAGCTAATTTTGAGAATGACTTGCTTTATGCCTCATTAAGGGCAAACAGCCTTAATGCCAGATGGCAAGGATCCACAACACAGTCAGTCTGCTCTTGAGGTTTGTGTGGTAAACATTTATTTGCTTGTTTGGCCCTGGCTGGATAGGTTGTTCAGTTACAGGCTCTCATAAGTAAACTCAAACCTTTTTTTAGCAACACATCTTGAAAACTTGTCTACTGTAGCCAAAAGCATAGAGAGCAGATAGATGCACGTTTCCTGTTCCAAATTTTATATGTAAGCTGTTGATTGCACCTGCTGTCCTTAGTGAGACTTGGTATGGCACAGAATCCAATGTTATTGCGTTAATTATCAGGCTTTACACAGATGGCTCCACAACAGTTTTAATCATCAGAGAGTCAGTTGCATAGCTCACCTGTTTGCCATGTTCCTTGATTTTTGGAAAGATTCTTTATTTTTTATTGCTGTTAGTATTGGTGTCAACAATACTAACATCAATAGTATAAAGATAATATATGGCCATTCCCTTCCAATACCAAGCTCATCGTTGTGGGAGGGCTTAGGGATGAGGACTGAAACCCAATGTAGGGGATCACCCCTGCCTTGGGCCTCAGCCCTCACCTTAACTAATTTTGTTTGGTCCTTTCTTCTCTCCTTTCCTTTTCTGTATCTTCTTTATTCCCTTCCTCTAACCCATTCCCAAGGAGTGAGAGCCATGCTGAAAGGATGAAAGGCTGGCTTTGTGTCAGTCACGAACGGCCTCTGGGAGCCATGGGCACGGTATTCCCTTGGTTAATTGCCTCGCCCTTATCCTTTATGGGGACCCTGATGAGTAGACCATTTCTTTTCCCCAGTTTATTCAGGCACATCATGGCCAGTAATGAAGATTCTTTACACAACCCACTAGCCAAAAATAATAGTTTCCGGGCAGCTTCAAAATCGGCACGCTGGGCTGGCCCAGAATCTGCCCACATGCTGGCCGCAGCCCGCGCCGGAATTAGAATGCAAGCTCTGATCCAGCGTCACACCGGCAAGACGCCTGGCAATGTTTATTTTTCCAGGTGTCACATTTGTATGACACCTGTCATAAGTGGGTTAATAGGGGCTTGCCTCTTAATCAAATAGCCTATCTGAATTTGATTTTGATGGTTTTCTGACCCCAGCCCCTTCTTTGACCACGGCTCCGACCACTGATACTAATACCCCAACTTCTACTGCCTCTACCTCTCCAAACCTGAGTACTCTCTTTGGCCCAGCCAAGTGAGATCGATTGTTTGTGATTCCCCCCACAGCACCCTATTCTGAGAAAACCCTTCTCTTTCAACAGTGCCTCCAGAAACGAGTAGGCAAGGTTACCTTTCACAGTCGTTTTAATCGTTCACGCTTTGTCACAGTTACATCTGAATTCCAAGCTCGTGCACTATCTACCCAAACTGACCTTACTGGCAAACCCATTCCTGCCGAACGTCACCCCTCTTGAAACTTGTACTGAAACTGTTTCTATTCCCCAAAATGTTTGTCCCATCTACAACAAGGAATGGTCAGACTGTGAAAATGACCTACTTACCTGCCTTGTTGAAGATGATGCAGTGGCCGTACAGTATAACAATATTAATCCCAGAGGCCAGTTTAAGTCCCACATCAATATTGCCAAGATTAGCTTCCTTAGACAAGACATCCCCATGAAGTTTATATTGGTGGACTGTCTTATCATACCCAACAATATCGACCCCTTCCTCATCAATGTCACCCAGCCAAACATTGTCGCTCCACACCCAAATGCCCTCTATGTGCCCAACCTGGTTATGACTGTTCCAAATGCCCTGCTCAGTCACGTACATGTACCAATTGTGGAGTCTCCCATAATGTATTTTATAGGAGTTGCCCTGCCTATAAACTTGAATGTGAGGTAGCAGTCCTCAGATTCAAATTGGGCTTCAGTCTACGTGAAGCCAGACAAGAAGCAGGACGACAAGGTATTTTTCTCTGCACTTATTTCAAAACAGTCCTTCGATCTGCTCCCCACCATCTTCACAAGATGTTTCTACATCTCCCCAGATATTTCTCCACTATACTCTAAACCTACGTCCTACGTCTACTCACTCTATCCCCAGTGAAAGTCCTTTTCCAATCTAAATCCAGATACTCCAATCTCCACCACTTCCCTAATACCTACCTCTCCTCCTCACTTTATCATATCAGACAACCTAAATGTTCCACTCCACCCTCTCCTACTACATTCTCTCCTACACCATCCTCCTCTTCTGTTTCTTAGATATCTATCTCCTCTTCTCTTCACAAGAGAACCTTTGTTTTTCAGTCCTCTTCACCCAACTCCCTTCCAGAAACCCTTGGAAGACATCCAAAACTTCCTAAAGATGACCCAAGGGAACACTCCACTCCTTCATTCACCCCCAATCCCTCTGTTCCTACTCCTTCTACATTTAAAGTTTGCAGATATCCATCCTCCTCCTCCTCAAGTTCCCTCCAGCCCACTTCCTCCTAAACCTTCCCAACATACCCCACCCTCTTTACCGCTCCCACTTTAATACTCACATGAATCCCCTCTATCAAACCTTCTCTAGACCCTTTCCCTCCAGACATTCTTCCTGATACTTCACCAATTTCCCCAGTCCTCCTTTCTCATCCCTGGATTCCCTTCCTCTTACTTCAACAGCCACCTTTGTTTTCCTTGAACAATGGCCCCATTCCTTCCCCAGTCATAGATACTCTGCAATTCACTCAGTTGCTCTATCCCTTATATTCCCCCTACCCCTTCCCAAATTACCTCATCCTTTTAACCACCCAAACCAAAACCCCATCCTTCCCAACTCTTCCTCCCACTCCTTCCTGGATACACACTTGCATCTCTTTTATCACAATACCCTTCCTCATACCCTACCTTCCCTATCAAACCCCAACACTACTCCTTCATCTACTCCTGATCCTTTATCTGAACCCTGAGATACCTAATCCTCTACTACTAAGACAAATGTATCTATCGTTATCACCTATTATCCCTATTCCTTCTCCAGTCACAGATACAATGCAATTCACTTAATCGCTCTACCTCCTTAAGGGGGTAGGGCGATTGAGTGAATTACCGTGTAATCCGTCACTTGGGAATGTATATGAACAAAGTTCAAGGAAAATAGAGATAGCTATTGGAAAAGTAGGAGAATAATCAGGGGAGAGGGGAAGGTGTTAGATGTCAAAGATTAGAGAGTGTTATAGGAAAGTGTGACAATGAAAAGGGAAGAGAGAGAAGTAAATGAAGTAGAGCAGGGATTAGTAAAATGGGAAAGGTTAAGGGGATAGAGCAATTAAGTGAATTGCAGTGTATCTGTGACTGGGGAAGGAACAGGGACATTGTTCAAGGAAAACAGAGGTGGTGGTTGAAGAAGCAGAAGAATAAAGGGATGAGAAAGAGGGACTGGGGAAAGTGGTGAAGCATCTGAAACAATGTCTGGAGGGAAAGGGCCGGGAGAAGGATACTGTTGTAATAAGGGGTTCACATGAGTATTTAACAGTTAGGTTGCCTGGTACAACAAATAAAGTAAGGAAGAGGGGTAGGTATTGGGAAGTGGTAGAGATTGGAGTATCTGGATTTAGACTGGAAAATGAATTTGACTGGGGAAGGTGAGTGGATGTAGGATGGTTTTGGATATTGGGGAGAGATACTGTGGGAGATGCAAAACATCTTGTGAAGATGGTGGGGAGCAGACCGAAGGACTGTTTTTGAATAAGTTGAGAGAGGAAATCTTCATTGTCATGTTTTCCTGTCTGGCCTTACATAGAGTGAGGCCTAGTTTGAATATGATGACTGTTACCTCACATTCAAGCTTATAGGCTCCTATAAAGTACATTATAGGAGTCTCCATAATTGGCATATGTACGTGACTGATCAGGGCAATTTGAACAGTCATGACAAGGTTGTGCACATAGAGGATAGGGGGCTGTGGAGGGACGATGTTTGGATAGGTGGCCAAATGCCAACATTTCTGATATTGATGAGGAAGGGGTTGATATGGTCAGACATAGTAGGACAATCCACCAATATAAACTTATGGGGGAGGTCGTGTCTATGGAAGATAATCTTGGCAATATTGATGTGAGACCTATGTTGCCTCTGGGAGAAAGAGTGTAACACTGTACTGCCACCCCATCATATTCACCAAGGCAGGTAAGTAGGTCATTTTCAGTCTGACTAGTCCTTGTTGTAGATAGGGATAGAAACAGTTCCAGTACAAGTAATAAGAGACGGGTCAGGTTCGGCAGAAATGGGTTTGCCAGTAAGGTCAGTTAGGGTAGATAGTGCATAAGCTTGGGATTCAGATGTAACTGTGACAAGGTGTGAATGATCAGAGTGACTGTGAAATGTAACCTTGCCTACTTGTTTCTGGAGGCACTGTTGAAAAGAGGGAGGGTATGTGGGGGAATCACAAAGAATCGATCTCACTTGGCTGGACCAAAGAGGAAGTAGAAGAATGAGAGCGAGAGGAAGATGAGGTGAGGTGGAGTGGCGTAGTTCTGTGCGTGGGAGGACAATAAGGATGAAGAATAGTAATAGGGGAAGAGGGGGTAGACATTGAAGAGGACTGCACAGTAGGAGATGGAGAGAATGTTTGATGTTTGATTTTTGAAAATAAATGTGCTAGACATCAAAAGTCATGTAGCACTATGGTAAAGTATTGTGTCAGAAAGGGCAAATGAAAATTAAAGATTATGATAAAATATGTCAGATGTCAAAGATTTGAGTGTTATAGGACAGTATGGTAGTGAAAAGGGAAAAAGTGGAGCAAGTGAACTAGACCACAAATTAGTATAAAGGGGAGGTTAAAGAGGTAGGGTGTTTGAGTGAATTATATATCTGTCACTGGGGAAAGTATAGGAAAAATGTAAAAGAAAGAATA